GCAGAGATTGGTCGACGCCACTGAGCATCGGGCAAGCCACCGGCACTCTATTGCAAATGGCTCTAGGCTTGCCTCGCAACCTACTCTCGGACCTTTGGCCCATCCATGGAGGCCCTGTGAATGGCAAACAACTTGAGCCCACAGTCAACAGCCCCAAGATGTCTCACGAGGCAGTTCGTTCAAAGCACAGCGTGCCCGATTGAAACACCAACCTGCAGTTTTTGTTGCCGCATTCTGTTTCTCGGGTTCTGTGGATGGGACCAGTGTGCTCCCGCAGCTAGGGTCGCAGCAGAAACGACGGTGCCACAATCAGGACGAAGGGAAGTATCGGTGCCAATGTTGTTGCGAGAGATTTGGTTACCTGCACATGCTCAGATCCGTAAAACTTGTGGTGCAACAGCGCAGCCTTCGGCACTGGCATCTGCGAGTAGCACTTGCGACTGAGCGGCTGTTGATGTTGTCGTAGTGTTTGTTGTCGAAGTCGTCGTGGTCGAGGTGGTCGTCGAAGGCTGCTCTGTGAATACAATCGTTGCAGTGTGGACTTCGATGTGCGTTACCTGACCCCATACAGAAAAAACACTCTGCAAAGAGATGAATAGAATAGAGGATGAGGTCTGTGCCGGGATATGCCAAGCATGTTAGAGACGGCTCAAGTGTGGTCTGGGAACGGATGGGCAGCACCTAATTAGTCATGTCTTCCCAGCTACCGTTTCTGCCTGGCAGGATTTCAGAAAGGATTCGCCTCGGCCCCGGGCAAGCAGTCAGTTTTCCTGAAAATGGGACGTTCCCTTCCTTGGATTTGCGGTATCTGGCGTCAGTAGTCAGACACTTCCTCTCCGGCCTTGGTCTCCTCTGCCCCCCGACCCCCTGCCTCTCCCTCGCTGCCTTCTCTCTGCGGCATCGCCACGGCCCCACGGCTTTGCAGCTGCCGGGCCGAGGTTGTTGATACGTTGGGGTTCTCCACCATCAACCACCACATTGGCGAAAACCACAGGTCCGAGATTTGACTTCAGACAATGTGCCCAGGATGGTAGAAAGGTTCAGACTCAGACAGGAAAACACTGCATCCGACGCTGATCCCACATCCCAGACAACGCAGGCAAGGTTATACAGTCCTAGCATCCTTCAGGATTCCCGAGCAGGAACATGCAGCATTCACGGGTCAGACCTCAACCTCAACAACCTGTAGCTCCTGCGACTCAACTCACAGGTACACAAGCTTGTGCATCCACACACCCCGTCCGACTCACAGCCCCGTCAAGGAAAAATTCAATGTCTCGATTCCAGAACTTTGTGTCCCACGCGTCAAAGCTGTCGCACGAGATCGCACGAGAGCTCTGCATGGCGCCCCAACACAGGCCGACGCCCGAGACTGATTGCGGCAAATGCCCACCCGAACCCTGACGCAAAAGTCTGACTCGGATCACATGACCATGAATAATGAAGATCACACCTGTGGCTGACTGACTGTGGTGTCTCGGACTCCGCGGAGGATCCACCAACTAAGTGCATGACGACTACAGTCATGGTGGTCGGTGTTCTTGATCCTGGCATCTGAAGAGATTGCTCCGTCACAGTGCTCGTTGTGCTCGCCGTTGATGTCGCATCAGCCACTGCTGCAGCTGCTGTAGTGGCCGCCACGGTCGTAGCCACTGCAGTGGTAGCGACTCCGGTGGTTACGGCTGTTGTCGCAGGCACCGTGCTTGCAGCGGCAACTGGGTCTTGATGCGCGACTTGATCTTCCTTGATAGAGCTGCGAAACATCAACATCATCAGGAACTGCTGGAAGCAACTGCCTATTCGCTTGTTGCTTGTCATGTTCACGGTGGGATTGTAGGTTCCTGCAGCTTCCCTCATACGGCTTACCTGGACATGTGCCATCGACTAGCTGCTCAATGAACAAATTTCAACAAACTGGGAATGGGAAGCATCCACGTCCGTGCTCATCACGAAACGAAGCCAAAAAATCAAGTCGCAAATTCCTTTTCCGAAAATTAAGTGTAGTAGAGCAAGTGCAAGATAAGTCGCAGACAACTGCAGGTTGCTCAGAAGAACGTCTCGTAGAGGAATTACGGAGAATAAATTCAGGACGAAACTGAAAATAGCATCATCTTGCATGCACCCATGTTGCATAGCAAGCCGGCAGTAAAGTCAGAGCGCACCATGGAGAAACACGACTGGCCATTGTTGGCCTTGTAGCACGAATGCCGTGCTTTGCCTGCTGGACACTGGTGTCACCCCTTCGAAACAGCTCCTACTAGGCTCCTACCACTCGTGGACAAAAGACTGTGGGGCGTGATGGTACTTTGCACGTTCCATAAAGTCTGGCCTTGGATGACTGTGGTGTTCGTGTTTGACATTCAATACGGAAAGAAGTGAGCAACTGCAGGCGGACGCACGCTTGATCCGAGTAGCTTGCGCCAGGACCTGCAAATGTCAAGATGGCAAAAGCTAAGACAGTTTGCATGGCTTCGATCCTGAGACAGCGGCTGGGGTTCTCGCGATGTGTGGCTGAATTCCAGCCAGCTTTTCCTTCCACAGAGCAACCCGTCGCCCGGAAACTTGCTTTGCAATTCAATGCCGCGCCCACCTTGCCTCTGATCGGATGAGAGAAGCCTCAGCAAGCGCAAATGAGCCCTGCACGAACAGCCGGACGAGCTGCTGCATCCAAGCAACAGGAGATATCTGTTGGTTCAGCCCAACACTGTCCACCAGCACCCTTACCTTTGCCTGCATTGTTTCAAACGTAGAAACCAAGGAAGCAAGATTTACAATCATGAAGCATGATGTCAGGTATGTAGCTTGCACCGGGAAGAACCTAGAATACAAGCATATAGTGCAGTCGCAGTCCGATTCCTTGTTCAGAAATGCCGGCCGGAGCATATGTGACTAAAAGACTCGGCGAGATCACAGCAAACCAAATCAGTTGGCAAAGTTTCTTTGGGGCACCCATTTCTTCAGAAGCTCGATACCGCAAGAAGTTTGTCGGACATCTGCTCACTGTACTGGGAGCACAAAATCCATCTTCCTGGAGCCACAAGAAGCAAGAGGCCCCAAAGCCCTCGTTTGTTCAGCTATTAAGACGATCTCTTTTGGGAACCTGCCCAGGAAACACAGTTTCCACTGGGCGTCGTCTCGTTTGGTTTTGCGAACGAATTGGAAGTCCCTGCCTCCTTCGCAACTCCAACAGTTGGGTTCGGACACTGCTGTGTCTTCATCACTTATGGACCAGATAAAGATTGATTTGCTGCAACATCTACAACGAACCTGCAGTACAGTGCCTCCATCTCTCTCGGAGCATGTGTCCCAGCGCCTGCAGAAGAGACTTGTGAATGAAATCTCCTACCTGTAGCAGCTGATCTATGGCCTCTCCAGACCAAGCAGAAGGCCACCAGGATTACGGCTCTATGCTGCCACATTGCACCTTGGCACCCACATCAAGCCGACTGCTTCAAGCAAGTGCTGCATGGTTTCCAGTCCTCAGACAACGGCTTCCGCGCAGTCAAGCATTGGACGCTTTCACAAACCATGATGCCGAAGTAAACACATGAGCCATCTTGGCTGCGACTGCCTTGGTTCGCCGTGTAAGACTGCGGGCTGCAACAGCACGTGCAAAGGCAAAACAACTCAGACGCCCTGTGCTTTTCGGAACCAATGTCCTCACCGGCGGCGTCTGCATCGTTGCAGAATGGAGGCTACAGAGGTCGGCTAGGGCTCCACGTTCGCCCGGGAACTCACAAACTAAAGCCACCGGGCAGAATCCGCCGCCAAGATCTGCGGCACTTTAGATGCCTTGGAGCTCGCCGTGTTCCCACTCACCTTCTTGCGCCATGCCATGTGCATCGACAAAGCGCCCCACGCCATGAAGCTTTCCATCTTGGAAGGTTCCCTCGATGACGCTCCCGTCTGGCCAAACCTCTCTGCCTGGGCCTTGAGGCAAGCCTTGAACGACTTGACCTTCAAAATGGCTACCGTTCTTCAGAAGCCCTTTGCCCGTGCACGTCCAGAGAAAGCCGTCTGCAATCTCTCCGTCGAAGCCACGTCCGCTCACGGGATCGAAGATACGTCCATGGCCTGTGTCCGGTCGACCATCTCGCCATTTTCCCTCAAAGGCAACCTCGTAAGCTTGAGGTTCTCCAAGGCTCAGGCTGTCCATGCTGTCCCCCGTCGGATTGTATCTTAGGATCGCAGGACCACCCCCATACACTTGGATGAAGAACTCCCACATCGCCTGCTCAAGGACCTGATAATCGCTCTGAAGGCCCTCCTGCAAGCCGGCCCGTAGGGTACCATCGATATCAAACAGATCGCTGTTGATGATGGGTGAGGGCGGCCTATCTCTTGTCTCCATGGTAGGACGACCTACACCAACAAAGCTGCGCCAAGATCGGCACCATTTCGAGCTAATGATGTAGCCAAACTTCCCGCCCATCCACCAAAGCTGCGGCATTCGCTTTGCCAAACTTGCCTCAATCTCCTCAACTTTTGAAAGCTCCTCTGTCCGTCGCATGTGCAGGAAGGCTCTCTGCTCTGAGGGTGTCATGCTTGCCGAGATGATCGTCCACTTATCCAACTGCAGGCGCAGGTTCGGGGCTGGTTCCAGCACACATCGTCTTGAGTGCTCTGCAACCTCTTCAGCTTTCACCCGCTCCCCGCAAACGCAGCATTTGATTCGGCTGTACTCTTCAATTTCGTCTTGTGTTAAGACCGGATCCCCCGTCTTGTCCAGGTCCGCGTCGTCTGCGTCCATCCTCACTTCGACCCCACGCCTCTGCGGCCATTCCGCAATGGCCCACGTAAGCAATGCATGTTCATTGTACCTATGCTTTGAGCGCAAATCTGCAAAGCAAGGAGATCACAATAGAAAAAGCTGAAGCCCACAAGCTGCACATCCTCAGAGCACCTGCAAGCTTGTGACTCTTCACCTGCGTCCTGTATGTCATGTGATCCATCGCATGCTGCATTGCAGCATGCAGCTGCCAGTTCCGGAAACCCCACGCTCAGAGAAGAAGCCTTAGCTGATTTAAGGCACCGCCTCATGCATGCCTGCATGCTGCCAGACGCAGTTCTAGCACGAGACGAAATCAGCATATCATGACGAAGAGTTCACAATTTACAAGCACCGGCAAGACGATTCACAGACACTCTCTACGGCATCATAGCTCATATCCTGCATTCCTGGTGCACTGAAAGGTGGCAGAGGTGGCGAGGATGCATGGATTCAGTGAGTTCATTCGACTCTTGTGTGTTTCGGCGAAACAGATCCTCTAGGTGGTGCAGACAGCTTGGCATTCGTGCCTCCGAGTGAGGCCCCAGCCCGAAGACACAAACACTTGCAGCAAGCCATCCCATCACCTTGGCTCGTACAACCCAAAACGTTGCAAAATGATCTGCCAATTTCTGGCGGGCCGCTACATTCATGGACCGGCTTTTCATGCTGTCCTGCAGGAGGCCAGCTCCGTGCCATCTTTGCGGTGACGATCCCCTCTCTGTATGGCGAATGAAGTTGTTTTGCGCTCTCCTTGGATGTGCCAACTCCGAAGTGTGCTTACATAGTTGAGAAGTAATGTCCCCAAGCGACGCAACCAAGAGAAGCTTCCTGGCATCCTTCAAGTCTTGCCTGTGCCGACATGGTCTACAAGGCAAATATTTCAAAGCCGACGTGCCTTGGTGTTTCTGCTGCAAAGGACCCCGAGACGGTGTGGTCCAGCCGAAGAGCTTGGGACCTCAAAATGGCAGCAAAGCTGCATCTCAGACCACCTGCAGCAAGTCAACCCATGCAAGTTGCCAACGCAGCGAGTGAGTGCGACACAGTGATGCCGCAATGCGTGCATAGGATCGAAGTATGTACGCATGCAGGCCCGTTGCTCCTTAGATGCATCGAGATTTGTTAAATGTCGACAATGGCGACTGCATGGTCGCCTGGATGTGCCAAGACTCCATGCCTTACACCAGCATCCCGTGCATGGTAGAGCGCAGCCTCAAGAAGAGACCACGAGAGAAAATGCTTGGGCTTTGCGCGGGCCATGGCCGGCCTAGCACCCCGGCCCCGGCGCCTGCCGGTTCAGAAGGACAAGGTCATTGTTCACTGCGCGGTGCTTCCTCAAACAAAACGGCAAAAGCATCTGCGGAAGTACGTCAGTATCATGGCTCGCACAATGCCTCCCCAATGATGTCTCCATTTTGCCCAGTACTTCTTGATAGTAGTCCTCGGATTGCCACACACCGATAGTCACTATACAAGATGTAGGCAGCGAATGACTCAGGGCACTGGTTGGCTGCAATTCTACAGCACACCGCTGGCTTCTGCATACATCGTCATACATCTGCATACTGCATACTGGCATTTGCAGGCATCCTCTCAGCCCCGCTCTTGCGCTGTTTCTGACAAGAAGCTAGAACCTGCTGCCACGTGTGGGTATCGGCCGGCATGCTTCCAACTGGCCCCTCTGGTCCTGGAATGCCTTGGCAGTTCCGTGACACACAACACAGTCAACACAGAGTTCTCACATCTTTCAGCTGCCTGGCCTTGGGGCCCAGGGTCTCCATGTGGCCCTGGTGGACCATGAGGGCCTTGCGGTCCTGCAGGCCCGGGTGGGCCGCGGGCTGCCGCACCCGCAGGCCCTGCTGCACCTGGAGGCCCCTGCGGCCCTGTGGCCCCGCGGCTTCCACGCTGACCAGGCTCCCCGAAAAGGCTGCTTACAACCACCCCAGCTTCACCAGGCAGAGCCGGTAAACTTTCAGCGCTCTCCAGCGCATGCTCGGGTGACGCCCAGGGCCAAGCTACACTTTCATCGCCTGCAGTGTTGGTCAAATTCTTGATGGCCTGCACTCCATCCGATGTCTCCGCTGGTGAATACAGGATCTCTGAAGCCTTGCTGTCTTCCATTGGAGTGTCCGTGGGCTCGGCTTCGTGAGCCATGCTTGTGTACACCTCCAGGGCAGTGTTGAATGCAACAGTGGCCGCTTGCCGAGCCAGCTTTTGAATGTCTTGCAGATGCATGCCGGCCGCAACGGCATGGTCTGCAGCTGCTGATGCTGCCGCTTTGGCCGAGATGGTAGCGATGTCTTTCGTGGCCAATCCGGCACCGTAGGCATAAGCTGCAGATGCTGTAGCTGCCGCTTGCGCGACTTCCTCAGACATGCGCCCGTCAGAAGATGCCTCTCCGGCTGCAAAATGACCTGCTGCCATCGCTCCCGATGCGGCTGCGCTGTCCTGGGACAAGCCGTGCTTCTTGCCAGCGGTTGTGGCTGCATCGGCAACTGCCTGCACACTGCCTCGCTCAGGGTAGTCTGCCATCTTTGCAGCTTTTCCTGCTGCTTGGCCAGCACTCTCGGCCGCAATGCTGGCCGAGAGTTCATTCCCCAGCTGCGCAGAAACCGCAGATTGGAAAGCAGCAGCAGCTGCACCAGCAGCAACCTCGCTCATCTCCTTCCCTGCGGCGGCAAGCTGATCACCCATCAGCCTGCCTGCTGCCAGCGCACTGGCTTTTCGTCGGAGAATTGTCGCGTTGGATGTCTGCAATGCCATGCCCAGGCTAGCTGCAGTGCTGACTCTCTCTTCGCGGGCCTGTCGGCTGGCAACCCCATTCTCCAGCATGCTTTCCGTAGAGGAACCGACGTCATGAGGGTTCGATCTCGCGCTGTTCTCTCGATGGTCGTGATGCGTAGTGACGGGTGCTGCCAACTTGTGCAAGCTGCCCACAGCTGACACCTTCAGGAGCTGAAGCCGCTACTGTTTTTTAAATTTCAGCTCTACACTTTGCAGCCAAATCATGTGCCGTGCCTCTAGAGGAGACAGAGTCGCCCCTTCCCTGCACCGAGCGGAACTACACGCAACTAAGACGCATGGGAAAAGCAATCAAAAGCGCCTTTCCAACCCGCTTGCCGGCATCGAGTACCACTTCGTGGCACCTCGGCTATCGAGCTTTTTGGACGAGTTTCGACTCTCATACTCGCTGAAGGCAGACAAGGCTCCAGGCAACAAGTGTCCCAACTCACGAGGTTAGCGTTGCGAGGCTCCCCTCTTGTACCCCTCTCTCATTTCGACCAAGAAACCGCTGCCATCGGCGTGCACTTGGACAGTGCCAACGGCTTCATGACCGCACACTGGCTGCGCCTTGCTTTGGACTTTACGAGCCAGCCGTGTGCAAGATGGCGCACACGAAAACTGGCACGCGGACCAGTTATGCATGGGAAAACGCTCACTCAAAGCCGAAGCCCCAAACCAAAACCCCGAGTGGCCCTAAACACCTCGAAGGGACCAACGCTGTAAAAAGATCAAAGGTAAGCTGTGGCTCAATTCCCTCAGCATGCTTCAGATGTCTGCCAAAGTCTCAGGTCCCGGCAAGGAATGACAGCAGCCAGAAATAGATATGCATTTTACAACCGGACATTTGCCCGGAGAGGTCCTGACATGCTCGTTTGAGCCGCAGCTGCCAGCGCGATCAAAGCCACGAGTGTCTCATTGCATGATCTTGCATGTGCACAAATTCGTTGGTGGTTTCTGGAAATACTCGCAGACGCATCATGCAAACTCCGGTGGCATCCAGACACCATTCTCAGCATTTTTGCCTATGTGGTAGGCCGCGGATCTGTACAGAGGCATCTAGAATTGGAAATCTAGAACCCTCGAGCGCAAGAAGAGCGCCAGTGTCAAGAGCATGCAGCTACCTTTCTGAGTGCAGCTAGCCGGAACCTCCAAACCTTTTGAGAGCAGCTTCTGCTTGTAGCTGTCTTCTGTGAGAATTCACACATTCAGAAGAGCAGTAAACATAGTCAAGCCTTGTGAAAGGCTTCGAAAGCACTGGTGTCTGACACATGTCACATTTGGTTTGGGCAGCTTCCAACATCTTCCTCTCCTCCTCCTCCTTCCTTTGCCTCTCCTCCTCCTCTTCCTTCTCTTTGAGCTTGTTGGCCTTTTGCTTCTCCTTCTGCCGCTTTTTCTTTTCCTTCTCTTTGTCTTTCTTACGCTGTTCAGTCTCATCTGTGATTCCTTCCGGCACCTGCGCAGATGCCCAATCCCAAGCATCTTCGTTGCTGCCCCGCCACTTTCGAAAGGCTTCTCGCGCCTGCGGCGTTGCACATAGATAGTACGGCACTCGGCCCTTGCTGTCTCGAGAAGTCGGGTCTGCACCCTGCTCCAGTTCTTCTGTGATCGCCATGACATCATTGGCTTGGGCTGCCACATGCAGACTCGAGAAGAGAGGGTCATCCTCCTCAGAATACTTGACAGCCGGAGCTTGCACCGGTTCTGCTTCTGCTATCTCTTCTGAAGGAGGCGCCGCCTGCTTAGGCTCTTCCGTTCTGGCAGGTGCCGGCCTGAACCTTGCAGTCACTGCATCTGCAACGCCTTCTTCGCAGAACACAACACTAGCAGCCCGGAGATAGGCTGCTTGGACCGCTTCGAAAGTTGGCTTGCCAATCATGAAAGGCAGTTTGCGGACTTTGCGCGGGTCGGGCAAAAACGGCTCCTTCTCAGTGCCAACAAGGGTCGGCCTCATCCGTTTCGAAACAGATACCAGAACCAATTCACACTCGGCCAAGTGCTGTGCCCATTTGTCAGTCATTAGCTCTTTGATTTCTTCTGCGAGCCGCTGCTCTCCATAGCGGCGCAGGGAAGAGCCAACACTCTTCACTTTCTTGCTGCTGTCGCACGCACTCTGCGATCCACCAGCTTTGGCACGGACAGTGTACCGATGAATCGCTTTGTGGATAACGGCCTCTTGGCCGTTGAAAACGGCCCCGGCGAAATGGCCACTGCGTAACGCACACACAGCCCACCGAGGGGAGCGGGTCCGCAAAATCTCCGCTAGACGCCTGTCCAAGGACAGATCACTGCCTTCTGCAAGAGTCTCGGGCGGAATCAAAGCTGCACAAACCCCCAAGCCATATATTGTTGGAGGATCTGACCCGCATTGCAGTCGTCGCAGCAGTATAAGCGCTCCATCGACCACACCCCTTGCCCAGGCTCTGCTTTCCACACCCAAGTGCCCCTCCCAAGCAACCTCGCTTTCTTCACTCTCGCTTGGAAGATCTGGTCCCGGATCTTCGGGCTGGTTCTCCTTTTCTTCTCCTCCGATCTCAGTATCATTCTCCTCTGAAGCCTCTCCCGTCCGGCCAGGAGGTTCAAAACCACGAGAGCCCCGAACTGACCTGGTGGGCTCGAGGGCCTTTAGCTCGTCAGGCAACCATCGAGAAGTGAAGTCCCAGAGTGGCACCGAATACGTAGCCGTTGCTCTGTTGAAGTGTCTAGTTCGACAGAAAACTGGGAGACCGTTCTGCGTCTCGGCATTGGACTTGCGGTCTCGTCGAGGCCTGGAGGTTTTCGACTCCAGGTCTTCTGCGACGGGGGCCGCGTCTGCTGGACCGATTGCGTCCATGATTCCTTCTACGGAACGTGTCAATGCCCTTTTCCTTTTAGAAGCCTTCCAAGAGCTGCTGCAGACAACCTCAAGTTCACACAATGCTGACTGCAGTTTGGGGGAACGCGGACCGGAACTTCTAAGAGCGGGCATGTCTTAGTGTCTTAGCATGCAGCAATCTGGATGCAATCGGCGGGTAATGCTTCCGACTCTACAGCTGAAATGCCCACAGCTGAAACGAAAAACATTGGACGAAGTCATGCGCTTGCACCGCACTGTCGGGGCTTGTTTTTCGGCTCAAGCAGGCTTCGTCTTCTTGCGCCGTTTCAAGTTGACCTGTGCCACAGCGTGCCGTCGAGATCGTACCGGTGCACAGTAGAACAGCACAAGCAACATAACCTGCAATGTCGTCGTTTCCAATTGTCGTAGATGCCACAGCAGCAGCAGCAGCAGCAGGAGGCCAACGACAGTCAACCACAACCTTCTCTGCAGCTTGTTGTCGCAAGATGTCGTACTGACGTCTTGGCCCTATGTTCTCTCGACATGCTACCAAGGCTGACTTGCTGTGCAGGACAGCTACGCAGCTACAGAGGCGTGCCTTCTACAAACAAGAACTGGACGAGGAAGATCGGAAATGGAAATAAGAATTGTAGCAGGGCAGGCAAGGTGAAGCAAGAAAGCTGCTCCGGAATTGCCGAAACAACAACAAAATGCACGGAAAGAAAGACGACTCAATTAAGGTGGATAAACAACAAGATGGACACAACGGAAACGTGTGTCAGGATAAGGAGAAACATCGAAGGAAAATAAAACAGGCTCGTTCTGTCTGTCCAGTTTTGGCTGTATTTCTTCGCGGTGAACCTAGTTAACCTGTCTTGCACGTCAGACTCGGCATCGCCATGCTGGTCATGCCAGCCTTGCTTGAGGTCAGCGAGCTTGCTTTGTCCTGAACATGCAAAGAGGGTCCTCTTAAGAGTTACGCAAGCTTGCTGCACTTGAAGAGCAGCCATTGCCTCGTCAGGCGCATCGGCCTCAACATCAGATCCAAATGTTGAGCAGATGTCTTGAAAAAGGCTGCGTGAAGCAGTGCAAAAGCTTTCAACAAATAATCTCAGCGATGCACTGCCGCTGCACTTTGACCCGGCTCGTGCCCTTGGATCCGGAGAGCAGTTGCTGCCAGTATGGGGTCTTTGCGCGACTCGTCCTACATGTGCAAGTGCCAGGCCTCCTTCAAGCAGAGGCTTTGTCTCGTTGTTGGACGGCTTCCTGCAGCTGTGTCGCTGTCTAAAACTAGGATACATGGAGCACCCCGATCAGCAGAGCTTCGTGCCGCTAGATGCATTGCTTTTGCTAACGCGGTCGTCTTCGTGATGCGCCCGAACGCTTCAACGTTCCAGCAGCGAAACTGCAACTGCCCATCTGAAGAAGATGCACCGGTTGCACGACCGGCTACTCTTGGCGAGTAGGCTGGTAGGATGAGTGACGCAGTCCGCGGCGACCAGCACCTGCTCAGCTTACAATACTGCACAGAGGCACACGAAGAACGTTGATCTTCTGCGGCCTCTACGGCAGGCGTCAAAGCTCCCAGCTTCTCTGTCGAACAATAGTCCTGCATAGCATCCAGTACAAGCCAGAAAGCGCCCGATGGCAGTCGGAGAAAGACCACCATCTGCTGTTTCCAACTTCAAGATCTGCATCAGAAGCAAGAGGATCCCTGATGCATCACCACCAGCAGGGTGCGAAGCAACACACCAGGACATGCCTACACGACCAGAGATCTCAACTGTGGAGAGTGGGTTTGGTGGGGGCATCTGCACTTTCTGCACTGCGCGCTTTCCAATTTACAGTGTCCGATAAGCAAGCGTCATTTTTCCGTGAGCGGTACAAGTACGCTGGTTTATTCGTTTGGCCTGAAGCATGGTTCATTCGGAGAGTGGTTTTGATAGGCGCGGTATGAGTCGCTTTATCAGGGAAAGCAAGCAAAGACTGCATCGGAGGCTGGCAACGACTGTCGAGCAAGACCAGCTCTCCTTGCAGGCTGCAACCTCGCCCGTGCCCTTGGTTCGACATCAGGCGCGAATCTTTGGAGTGCAGACAACCTTGCCGTAGCTGCGGTAGGTTCGCTTTGGCCAAGCTTCTTTCCAAAGTGGCTCTGCAACTGCTGCTCAAAGCGTCTAGTCGGCCGCAGTGCGAAAGGGTCCTTACCCCGACACGAGATGTCTGACACGACTCGCCTGCAAGTCCTCATCCTCTAGCCTCGGGGACGACTACCTTCGCCACCGTGCGGTCCTCATGATTCTCATGATTGATGCAAGCTCCGGCAGTCTGGAACTGGAACCTTGACATGCTTCACGTAATTCAGCCTTGGCTCCACGAATTCAGCACCGGCTCGTGCAGTTGATTCCATCGATTGCCTGGGCTGCCAAACGGTCGATGCAGGGCGGGAGGAGGTTGGGAGAAGAAGTTTAGCGAAGCGGCACAGGCGACTGCGGCTCTGGACTGAGAGGCACCAGAACTTCCGACGTTTTCTTCCTTTGAAGGTGGAGCTTGTGCAGGTCTGACTCCACCGGCCTTCGATGTTCAAGAGGCGGGACCCAGCAGACCGAGCGAAAGCGGCCAGCATTGCTTTGATGCTCGTGCTCGATTCGCACTGCTGCCCAAACTGCACGACGTATGAGTTCCTGCATGCACTCTGGCAGCAACATGATGGATGAGAACCCTGGCAAGAAACCAACGACATCACAAGGCAATGACATTGAACCAGCTGAGGGCCTTTCATACCCTATCTGAGGCAAGTCTCGAGGGAACTGATCATGAACGCAAAGCACTCGCGGTTGAAAGTTGATGCACGAACGAAGGCATGGCAATCGGGCAGATATGTCAGTAGCCACGTCGTGCGCAGAGCCACATCCACGAACGCTAGAACAGCATACGAAGGGCGAGGATACAAGCGGTGCCGGTTGCTGACTGTGAGCCCGAAGTCCACCACGATGTCCCAGGTTGCCTGAGCAGCGGAGATGGACAAACAGCCCACTAATTTCTCATAGCATAAGCTCCTACATGTTTTTTTATTGAATAGTCAGTTCCCTGTCCTGTTGTGAAGCAGGCAGAATGTCGGACACTGTTGACACTACCGAAGATTCTCTTCGGCCAAGGTGCAGCATAGGAAGTGGCTGCTATGTAACCTGACAGGACAAGCCACTAACTCTGCTGGCTACATTGGCTCATCACGACGGCACCGCGGGGCTGCGAGACCAACTCTAAAGCTGCGAGAAACTGAGTCTCTGCGATGCGAAGTTGCGAGAAGCTGCGACCGGGGCCCGGGTTGCACTCCATTTTCGTGATTGTTGCCCGTTTGTGCTGATGCGAACTGTCCACGGACGGTTGGTCTCCGGCCACCCAACAAAGCTAGACACAGCATAAAGATTTCGACCGAAATTCTTGGCTCTGGGAGCCCCCAAATTGAGATAGAGCCATCTTTGCCCTTCCCCAAACGGGCCAAAATACCTCTCCCCCCCCCCCCCCCCCCCGGGGCTCAGAAGAGCCTGCAGCGGGGTAAGCCAACGATGTCTAGCCCTTCCGGCAAGGGCAACTTGGGCGAGGCCGCAAGCTGCTCAGTGGCCTGTGAGGAAGGATCAACAGAGAATGTGGCATGGTTGGCACGCTTCTGCTTGGTCTCGCCTTTGGGGATTCAAGCCGTCCCGGTTGACCGAAATACGAGGAGAGCTGGCTGGTTTTGAGTGCCAGTGCTACGAGAAGCAGGACCACCTTTGGGCGGGCAAGCCGCCCTCGTTGGCGTCCCTGGATTGGAACATGCGGCCATAGAATTCTGTGTCCAGCGGCACTGCGCGAGCTGGTTGTTTCCGCCGCGAACCTATCGAATTCAGGTGCGAAGAGCAAGCACAGAGTGGGTCGGAGTCGGGGTTGTAAATGAGCCCAAAAAGCCCGTGCTGTAGGCACAGAGTCTTCAAGGACATCGTGCAACAGAGGAAATCGCAAGCAAGACCATAAAGCGCACAAATCGGTGGTTCTTCTTATGCTTGGTAGTCGTACCGTCGTACCGCCAACTAAGCTCCGCGCTCAACATCCGCACCATGTCGAATTCTAACGGTGCCAGTCCCAGCGGGAGCTGATGGACGGCAGCCAGCAAACTGACGATAATTGCCAGGCAGTACTTAACACAGTTGAGCAAGTGCCTTGCTGTGTCACCTGTATCGTGCATCCGGCGTAGGCACTGTGCAATTCGGAAGACCAGCGGCAGCACCAGGATTAATTGAAGCATCGCCCACGCGAGCCCCTTGTCTTGCTTGCATTGTACCCGAATGTCACGGGCGTTTAATGTCTGCCAATTGCGAAAGTAACATGAAGTGTAGGCCACATCTTTTAAAGGTCGGCCAAACGAGGTCAGAAGGTCAGCAAAAATGTTTTCTGCGAAGCTAACTTCTCCTAGCAGAGAGAAGCAAGAGACGCGCAAGATCAATCTCGAGAATAGCTGGCGAGCGCCCCTGGACACCCACCAAGAGGTTATGCAAAGCTGTAGCATCAGCACGCTGAAGGAGTAGACGTGAGCTAGGGACCAGCCAAGCTTGTGAATCTCCGGGTGAATGTTGAAAAGCACAGCGCCAAATTTCATGTCTGCCAGAAAGCAGAATGTGAGAACAATCCAGACTCCAGTCTGAACAGACGCATAGTTCAGCAAGGAGATTGCTGAAACATCCAGGTCTGGAGAGATGTCTAATAGAAACAAATAATTGATGTTGTACCGCTCGAAAACGCTGGCACATGCACCAGCCAGCCAGGCTGTTAAGCTCATCATGAAGGAAAGGCGAAAAACAGGTATCGTAGCCTCAGTTGCAAGATGTTGCAGCAACACTCAAATCACTCAATCAAGCCTGGCCAGCGAACGGGTAGAAACGGCTTTTCCTCTCCATCATCACTGCCGTGGAAGGATCTCTCATTTAGAACTGAAATGAGCATCCGGATTAAACTCAACGGTGCAAACATGTTTGGTCGGAACATGTCGGAACCATTCGTTGACCTCTCTTCGTTATGCCCTCCAGCATGCTGGCAAAAACGCTATCCACACGTATTTACTGCTTGTGCATCCCTGTCAGGTGACCGACCGCAACAGAGGAGAAGGCTCAACTGCAGGCCCCCAAGCCCCCTGGACGAAGGCCAGGGGGCATATTCAAGCGCTTGTGTTGTGAAAAACTAGGGAACAAGCCTCAATGGGTCTTTTGCTTGTCGTCCCCTACAACACGAAGATCAAAACATAATCCCTACCCTTTCTGTCGGAGCAGCTCAGGGAAACAAAGAAACAACATCCACGCTCGCGCTACTTTGTCTGCCCTAGGCATACCCAGCTGGTCCAGGAGAGCATGCCAACATCCACGCTCGCGCTACTTTGTCTGCCCTAGACATACCCAGCTGTTCCAGGAGAGCATGTACGCAACGTTTTACTGCATTGTCTCCGTAAGCATCACAAGCCATTGGCCGAGGCACTGCCAGATCTTCAACGGAGTAGTGATTTATTTGAGGCTCCATTCCAGACAGGACTGCCAAAACTATAAGTGCCATGGAGATCACCCCAAGAGAAAAGGAGATCCTCGCCAATGCCCACAGATTCTCGGTGGCAGACTTATCATGCGGAGAATTCATCTGCAAATCCCCGTCCAGGCCAAGCTGATCAGCAAACTCACGCAGCTGACACTTCAACCTATCGAGTCTACTTTTCACATGATCACTGAAGGGATCCTTCTCTTCGAATTCCTTCAGCTTTGAAGGCAGTGTGCACAAGCCGGTTTGCTTGTCATGCTTTTTGAGAATCTTGTAAACGGCGGTGTGGTTTGCATCCAAAAAATGGCGCAGATCAAGGATTTTGCTCTGCAACTGCTGGGTCAGGCTCTGCAGGTGCATTCGGAGCTGCGGTTCATGATGAGATCCAGAAGCTTGCTTGAGATCGTCCTGTGCTGCGCTAAGTCGAGCCTCCACTTCGCCAGCAGTCGATGTGAGGAGGTAGTTCACCCGATGGACACAGGCACTCAGCTCCTCGAACCACTCGTCGCTGATCTTGCATTCGTAGTCACCACGGGGAGACCCTTCGCTGGAAGAGGCGCCGTCGTTTGCTTTTGAACGGGGCTTCAAAGCCCCGTAATGATCCTTGAGAGAGCGCTTCAGCCCGCCGTAGTCAATGTAGAAAGCCTCCCAGCCGGTGACCTTGTGTCTTTCCAGCTGCTTGCCAAACTTCATTCCGACATCAGCTACATCCACCTACCGAACAGCACAGCTTGAGCAAGACATCGGTCAGGACGTCATCCGAACATCGAGCGTGATGGCTTAGCGGGCTGCGGCTGATCTCTATCGTGATAGCCTAGCGCCTAGCGGGCAAATCGGGTCCTCTTCCTTTTCTTTGGAGATGGAGATGCATTCAGCGTGGGAGGCTCCTTGCTCGTGGAAATCCTTGGCATCGCTTCGTGTATCCGTGGTGCAGCAAAATAGTGTTCACTGTCCGGTGATTCCACGTCGAATCATGCCCAGCTGCTGGATTCCCAGCTCCGTCTCGTTTTCCCCTGGCTTTGCTGCTTCAGACTTCATCCAAGGCAACGCGCGGTGTTGAAAACCACCTCAGTCGGACGGCTGCCTTGGCCAAGAACCTCTGTGTCGCCCGTCCGTTCTTTAGTCGGGAACGTACACCGTCCTGGCGATTCGCTTTCCACACCATTCTTGCCGCTTGCTGCTGGTCCAGAGGCTTCAGTTGCACCTGGCAATTGGGATGCAATCGAGGCACTTGTCTCGCAAGCCCAGGAGCCAAAGAAGCTGCACCTGCAGAGTAGTGTCCTTCACGAACCATTCTTCTGGCAGGGACTGCCCTGCACAGGATCATATTGCATGCATATCTCGCAAAGGTCTGCATCATGCTGAGGCCACAGCTCATTTCACGGAAAAGCTGCTTCTTTGACCGGTTGTCTGTTTGATTGGACGCGGTCAGAAATGTCTGGTAGTAGTCGTGCATCTTCTCCTCAGGGTCCATCCGGTCACTACCATGCATTTCTTGCACGAAGTGTTTACGATGTCACTTTCCATCCTTGAGCTCTTGCCAGCTCCATGTATGCTCGGGGTTCGGTGCCCAAAGAAACTCCTGAACATTGAGCTGGATGTCGCGGCTTAGGTGCAAGGCAGCGCAATGGTGTGGAGCGCCTGGGCAACAAACTTCCAACTTCGCCAGCGGCTTCGCCGGTTGGGATCCGGATCCCCGAGGTCCTCACACCAACATATCACCGCATGGGCTCCGGATCGAGTGCTTACGTCTTCCAGGCTGAAGTGCAAAACGGCCGGCCTGAAATCTCAGCTTCGGAATGTCAGCAGGCTTTGCAATGGCGACCTGGTATCAAGCACGATGAGCCTGGCAAGGAACAGCCGACTTCAGCTTGGGTTGGCGCCTCGGTGAGCATCTTGGGCAGTTCCTCCTCTCGCGCTTCCGTGACATCTTCTCACACACGTCTCGACACTCTTCGCCGTGGTGATTCCTCGTTGGAGCGACGCTGTGCAGCAGCAGAGGCCTTGTAGAAAGCAAAGCAAACCATTCCACCATGTCGCTGCTCACTGCCTCTTCTCTCGCTTTCGTCACCGCCTGCCACAGCCTTGCATCCAACCAGCTCGCTGGAATTACGACATGGACTGCAATCACTTGGGCAAATGCATTTCTGCATCATCCGGCCCCTGCATAAGGGCAGAGTTGCTCTAGCAATGTCACGTTGTCGGCAATGACAATCATATATATGGCCCCACCTGACAGCGATCTCCCAAGTGCTCTTTGACGAATTTGCAGAATGCCTTTTCCGTCTGGGGTGCCTCGCATACAAGATCTCTCCGCAGCGGCTATCAAGCTAGGAGGGGAGTTGTTCGCAGGCACGAATGCGCACCTGCTCGAATTCGAAGAGGTTGTGCAAGAGTGACTTGACATGTGGTCTCTTTTCCGCCCGCTTCGCGGCACGAACGATGTCGTGCCAGGCCTGGCTTCGGCATGCACCCCGCCAGAGTAGAGCAGCTACAGACTTCGCAACTCACAGCGCGCGCGCGCAGCCTGCTTGTCAACGATCACTCGGTGAGATTCGCACCACCCGAGCCACTGCAGCCAGTAAGGATCCTGGAAGCCCATCACGCCCGACCAGAGCTCAAACTCACTGGTGCAAAGGATACGGCCCCACGCAGTGCCTCAAGACTAAGACTGCTGGGCTGCAGCAGCAGCCCATATTTCGGGTGCAGTACAACTCTCATGGAATGGACATGCATAGCATGCACCATGCATGCACCAATGCCGGATTGCCCGCTCGACCTTTGACAGCATGTGTCATGCGTTGCCACATGCCACAAGCAGCAGAATGAATGACCATCAGGCCAGGCTCGTTCAGATTTCATGACTTCGGCGCAGTGCTTGCCATGCGGGGTGCTTCCGTGCTTGACGGTCCATGACGAGTCTAATGATTACTGAGTCTAATTATGCGGCCAAAACCCAACTCCGTTCACGATGCGAGGCATTATGTTTTTTGTACTCTGCCTTTTCCCATTCACTAGCACCGTGCATAATATGTTACTTAGAAGAAGACACGTTCTTTGTTTTTGCCACAACGAGCTGCTGTAAGACCGAGTCAGCTTTCACATGTGAGAACCTTTGACATGTGGAAATACTCGGATTTGCACTGTTGCACGGTATCTTACACCGTGGCAGCAGGAAAATGTTGCATGGCCATTTGTACGCAAGGCTGAAAGGGAATGCTGTCCAGAAAGAACGTTGGGTCTGCCCAGTCGCAGCCACTCGCCTCTCCAGATGCTTCCAGAGCCTTTATGGGCCGTCGCCGGGTCGAAGGAGGTCATGCCAAGCATTGCCGAACCACAACGACAAACCACAACACAAACCAGAATCAGGAACCAACGCATCCAGTTACGCGCATGCAAGGTGGGTTGAGTCGCCAGCTGAAGAATCTGAAGCGGCAGAGCAGGTCCTTCTTCAAGGTGAGGCCATGGCCAACAACGACGAGGCCTCGTCGAGCACCTCGGAGGGCAGTGGCGGGCAGTGGCGCAAAAGAGCAAAGTCGAGGCAGAGCTCCTGGCGAGTCAACATCACATTCAGTCGTCGCCAATCTGCAAGGAAGCCCACCCGTCCAGCAGCGTTGTTCCTGAGGCACTACGAGTACCGGTCGGAAATGGTGACACAACCGGCAGCGTCTCCTCACGGCCGAGAAAACGATCAGTTCCTTCTCGCGGCCTTGGAAATTGTCGACACCTCAGAGGAAAAGCTCTGTGAGCGCAAGCCACGCACATAAGAGTACCTGCAGACATGGAGCTGGCGATTTCAAGCGTTCCTCGAGACGAGTCACGCAGAGCGCAGGTACAGCTTGGCTTTGCAATCCAAGGGACTGGAGTTCTTCGATGCATTCCATTTCATGCCCCTCTCCTCACACGATCTGAGATTGAGACAAAGCAAGGGAAGCCATCCTGCTCTACTTCAACAGTCTCACTCAGATCATCTCAGATCTGTCCTTGCAGCGATTCCTCCATGATGTCCGAAGAAGCCGCACCTGTTTACCGTCTTTTGCTTGTCGACTGTTCGTTTCGAGTTCTGTGACCTTGAGTCGCGATGGCCTGCGCCATGTACGGGGTCACCACTCCAAGGTCTTCGGCAGTGCAGCCGGCATCCAATACGGACCTTGGGTCTGCTTGCATCTGCTCAACTAAGAGAGCAACATCACATGGCGTACCCACGACCAGCTGCCGACTGCACCGTCGATGTTACGACCGCTTCTCAGATCGAGAAACTCGATGATGTGAACGACTCTTTCTGCTTCAGCCGAATTCATCTTCGACTCGTGCTCCTGGGATTCTCCTGATGTGCTTGCGCGACTCGTACACACTCCACACTCGCGGCACACACATTCATCGCACCATTCCTCATCACCTTGCCGCCAAGGTGCGTGATGCTCGCCCCATCTCAACGAAAGCCACTGGGACCTGGCCATCATTCAGGCGCGAATAGAAGTTCAGAATCAGGTGTTGGAGCCTTCTTCCTGGGCCAATCAAAGCCTTTCATTGGAGGACGGGCGCCATCGTGAATTCCGCCTGGGTCTGCACCATGGAAGGCGGACACTCCGTGCCATTCTCATCATGATCAAGACCATATTTGTGGGGAACTCTTGTCAGGACTCAGCTAAGCCAGCGACTCTTCAGCCGCCCTCCGTATATGGAGCTTGCAACCCACTCCACAAGCTTCGGGTGGGAACGGAACTGCGTGTCCAAGAAGTATGGCTCCAGGCCTTCCTGCAGCAAGCGTTGAGAGCAAACGATCCGAACTGCAACAGAAGACTCTCGCCCTCATGTTAAAAAAGACGATGTCCGTCCTGCACAAGACGACCGTACAGCGACAGTGTTAAGCCTTCGCACATGTACAGAAAGCTTTCATGCAACACGTGTTTCCCACACATTTGAAGGCTGGCCTCTGCGCTCTGCCTTGCAAGCACTCGACAACTGGCTGCAGAATCTTAGAACATCCTTCCCAAGCTTCTTCCATGCCTCTTGAGATTGCACCGTTGGCGGCAGCTGGCCTTAGCTGTTCTGAAACGATTCCAGCGGCGGCTGCGCCGTGCTACCAGCAGTGACAAGGTGCAATGGTCTCCCGCGAGTACGACACGCTCACAGCGTCGCTGGACCTTGCAAGGGATCAGATGCCTGTAGCCCAGATTCGCTTACACCGACAAGCCGCACGACTCCAAGGCCAAGGGCCAAGTCAGCAAGAACTGCATTCCACCGTTAGGACATGCACCCATTAGATCCTCCAATCCTATTGCCGGTAAGCCCAAGCAATGACGGTCCAAACGGATGGCATGCTCTTGTAACCAGAAGACATCCATCGAAAGCTTCTGCATGACAGCTTCGTACTGAATCGAAACAGTATCTACAAGCAGCTGGTGTGCACAGCTGAAAAAATGAGAAATGTCCCGAAAATAACGTCAAACGAGCACAAAGTCATTCTAGCCTAAACATGCCTCCAGCAACCTTTACTGCAAATCAGTCGCGATGGGGACGAGAGACACTATTTCTGTGGCCTGTGCCTCGGCAACAGAATTTGCAGGAAGCGCGGCACACCCATGCAACGTGGCAAATCTGAAATCTCGAGGTTGTCGCCGCGGCCGCCAAACTATGCAACAGAACATGACTGCCACACATCGCGCCCTGCCGATCACAAAGCACCAGCGATCCAGTGACGTTCAAGCTGCAATTTCGTCAATCAAGATGCCCTTGAAAGGGCCGAGCCTTGGCAGAAAGTTGTCCGCAGTTGCTTCACCGCTCCACCGACTATGGGGGCAAACGCTCATCCGATTTTTTGGCCTAGAAAGGCAGATTACTTGTCAGGGCCTACAAGTCAGAGGTCCTCTTGCAAAGAAGCAGCTTTGCAAGCAAGCCGCCTCCGGCAGTGATTAACCTGAGAGCTGTCCATGCCCCTTCAAGCTTGTGAGTGGAGGCATGGAATGGGGAATTGTGAGTGGCGACGGCACCAGTGCATGTTGTTCTGTAAGCTGGTAAGCTGGTTGCGAATGACAAGCCTGCAAGAAGGCCATAGAAACTGTGGGCTCTGTAATTTCTTGTGGGGATCTTGAAAAGCATCTAGGCTTCCGGAGGCTTCTGGAAAAAAGCTGACAACTACTACATTGAACAGCTGCTACAAAACAGTGAAGAGAAGGCCCGGGGCTGGCCTGGGCCTTTAACGTGTTTCTAATCTCAGGATGCGCAGGTGGGGTTTAATGATCTGTCTGTACTTCTATCTGCTCTATGTTTGTGTGCATACGACGGCCAGCAAATTTCTTCTCCTTGCCCAAGTTTCACATGAAACAAGGTACCGCCTGCTATCCCAATGTATGTAGTCCTCACCTCAGGCATGGAGCTGTGCACAAAGCACGTCGGCCTCACGAAGCGCCTGCGGTGCCACTGCCACGCACTCAACACTGCTGTGCACTGCTTTGCACTGCTGATGTTGCGCTTCCAGCTCCTAGGCTATAGTTCAAACTGCCACGAAGCACCAGCAAGGATCATTTGATGGCCTGGAGCTGCATCTCCGCATCCTCCCTGCGCGCTTGAATTCGCTTCTGTTGCTCTTGATGTTGCGCTTCTGCTTCAGTTCCTTGGACGTGCAGTGGTGCAGAAGTCACCCATTTCTTGCGAAAACTGGCGAAAACCTCGGATGTATTAGTCATATTAACCTGTAGCCAGCTTCGTGCTTCCAGAATTTCTGCAGCAGCTGCCTCAGCTTTGGAAGCCTGTGAATGTCATGGCAAACACGCAGCGCTGCATCGCAAGCCCGAAACAACACGGGGCCTCTGCGGTGCAGATGGACTCCAGCGCAAGTTCAAGCACCCTCGCTGCCGGTATGTGCATCTGCTCACCTTACTGGTGCTGTAACGTCTTCATGACTATCATGACTAGTCTCTGGAGGCTGCGGCCTTCTCTCTGCTCCTCACTGCTTCCCTTCGCTTGCTGGTCACTGACCTTGCAAAGAGGGATGCTGCTCAGGAAACCGTTCAGGCACAAGTACAGCTGTCATGGCCGGCTGCTACTTTCAATACTGCATCTCTCCAATTTCGGCTCGGGGTGTTCAGAGTCTGGGGCCCCATGTGTCTGCGATCAGGACTCGACCTGGTTTTGAACATCAGGGATTCGACAGCTTGCCTTTCGAAGGGCCTTTTTGACTCTGCAAAATCGTTCATCTCACAGAACCTAGCCCTAGCCTCTGCCAACGCCGACCCCCATGGCCCACAGAGAGTCTCAGGCAAAGAGGGGCCCACTCTGTAAGGACCGCACCTGTGCTGCCTGCAAGGTGCTGGGCAGAATGCCTGCATCGGCACTGCTGGCAAGACGAATATCAACCGCCGAAGACTTCGAAGCTGCAATTAAGGCCCGAGCGGGCATTGAGATCGCATGCCTCGCAGGCAGTAACAACACGTAACAGATTCCCCAATGCCACCTGCTCGCGTGACTACATCAGGTAGATGCAATGGCTAGTAGCGATTCCGCAAAGCAGTTCTCAGAACGTGGCAACCTTCCAGCTTATCAGCGTCACATAACTATTTATTCAATTTACACATGCTGACAGTCCCAAACGTGGACTGCCGAACGTTGCACTTCCGAAACACTTCTGGCTGCGAGGCGTTGTTTCTGCATTCGCTCCAAACCCCGCCCGCACGCCATGCATCCACACGAAGACCAACACCCACACCCAAACAGCTCACCTAGTGTCAGTGTAGCAAAAGCACTGGCTTTCTCTCTCTGTCCTGGAGCTTGAGATCTCTGAGCGTCATCTGCTCCAGAACGGCCATGGCTGCTGCTCGCTCCTCGGCTGCCTTCTGCTCCTGCGAGGGATCACAAACAAAATGAAACGCATTCCGTTCTTGATGCCAGTCCTGCTTCTGCTTCTTCATGCGACGGAGTTGATTGTCCAGGGTTATTTCTTCCAATTCCGGCCGGATCTTCTCTGGCCGACCCACACGTACTGCTCTCACGTCGACCTGGACACAGCCGCGCACAGTAGAGGACGGCGTAGGACGGCCAAAAGAGGCTGAGAGCAGCAAAGGCACTCCCTGCTTCGCCAGCCCTGCCTCTCACAAGGGGGCAGAAACAACTTCGGCTTAACCTGACTGCCGAAAAACTTTCTGGGTCATGTTCGGGGATGCAAGAAAGTTACGCCAAGGAGCTGCTATGTTGTCAACCGCGATGTTCCCATCGGCCACCGCCAAAAGTGGTTTCAATCCCAACTGGGCCCAGGAGCGGAGGATCTGCACGGCCGTCGCAGTCTTGCCTTCCACCCAACATACAAGCACAAAAATGATGGCACCGCTGACAGAATACGACCTCAGGATATTTGGGACAGGCCGGGTAAAGCTAGGAGCAATCATGGCGGTAGCTCTTTCAGTTGCCAGTGAAAGGACTCCCTCCTGGTACCACCCAAACCTGCGCCTATACATGCTATGCATGCATGCAAATGCAACTTAAATCGGCTGCGACTAATGAGTTTTTAGGATCATTGGCAGGCCTGTGCCGGGAGGGCCTTGGATAATGGTGAGGCGTCTTTCACACGTGGCAGCCACAGCCCGTCGCTGGGAGTCCGTGCATGTGGCAGGAATACTTTCAACACACTTCGTCAGCATGGCCGCATCGCAAATCATCTTCTCGGCGGCTGTTGCCGCAGTGCCGGTCGCAGCCTTTGCGGAGCTGTCGGCGGTAGATTCGCTGTCCACCTTCTTCAAATTAGAAACTCTTACGGCTTTTACAGAACCATTCACCTGAACGTTTATCCGCACGTCTTCACCTTCAACGGCGTGCTCGCCCGCTTGACGGATGCTCCCATTCACAGCGACAACTTCGCCCTGCTGATGATTCAGATCTTCAGCCTGAAGGCCGTGTAAGGTGACAACCTCACCTGGCTTGAAAGCCTCTGCAAGCTCTGCTCTGGGTGCCTCTGTCTGCATCCTCTGTACCTGTGATTCGTCGCCCTTTTGCTCGGCGAGCTCCGCAGTCGCAGCCGTAGAATCGCTGACCGCTGTTTCTTTCAGGTCGCTCCATACACGCGATGCCCAAGAGTCGGCTTGACCCACATTTCCGTTTCTGATGATCTCAAATATCTTGGAACAATCCTCACCTACCGAGGTGCTGTCAACGTAACCGGTGCACAGGGACACAAGCGAATCCAGTTGCCTCGCGTAGCTTAGCCTGTTGCTTCCTTTGTCAACTCGCCAAAGACGCTGTTTACAGCCTTGCGGAGGCGAAACTTCTTCAAAGGAAAGCAAAACCCACTTGTCTGTTATGTCCTGGAGCTGTCCTTCTGCGAGCCTGTCCTGCAAAGGATGCGTGGCGGACAAAATGATGCTGTCGCCCTTCCGAAATCGCAACCTGTCAATGTCCGTCTTGGGTGGCAGCCACAGAAACATCTGGAAGCCAGACGTCGGTCCCTTTCCCGATCCTTTACGACCCTTGCCTTTGGCCGGTCGTTCCACAACGTCGCGAACACGCATGCCAGTCAAAGCCCAACCACCTCGTTCAAGTTCTTCTCCCGAACGTCGCGAAGCACGTCGACGTAATGTAGCGACTTCTTGCAGGTATTCCAGGTGCAACAGACTGCAGAAGTGGCCAAAGTATCGCGCACTGTGCACGCCTTGTGGTGAGACAACATGTCCCTGAAGGCTGCTCAAGTTAAGCCGCTGCAATGCCTCGATACCCAGCTGCTCTTGATCAACGAAGCCTCCAGGATCGGCTTGAAAGACTTCGACGCCTGGTGGCTTCAATTGCCAATCCTCCCCCGTTGGAAGCTCGGAGAGCTCGGAGTTACCCGGCTTACCCTTGCCCATCAGATCAGCGCCGCCCATCCGTTTGCCCAACCACCACCCACGCTCAACAGAGACTGCTCGGCGACGCCTCTTTTTGGCCGTGCCTGCAGCGCCAGCATCATTTTGGGCCCCTTGCTCTCCACGCTCGCGCTCGCAACTGTATTCCCAGAAAAAGCATAACAGTCTCATGTCTCCAGATCTTGCAGACACCATCCTTTCGTAGGTGGGCCTTTGATGCTGGCTTACATGATCAAAGTCCCGCGTGCGCTTGAAAACTCCGTTGAGTTCCGGCCAACAACCAGAATTCCGGAAGACCAGCTCTTCGGGCCATTCCTTCCCAACTTCGTCTTTCTCCTCCTCCTCCTCGATGTCTTTGTCCTGCTTCAGGATACCCTCTCAATCCCACACCGACCTTTCATGCTACAATGCCCTAAACCCTCCCAACGGCACTGTCTCGGCGGAACAGGCTTGAGGTTGAGGACCTCTTCGCACCACAGTCTTAGTGTTCCCCTCCTGCTCCACGAAATGTTTCAATCAACGATCTATCCAGGCCGTGCTTCAGTTGGTTGGTCTGAAAAGTCTGGGCACTGACAGCTTTCCTGTTCCGGAAAGAAGTCCTATGGTTCTACTACATGAGATTAAGTAAGGCTGCACTGCCCCCTGCCACCTCCACCATTTCTAGCAGGCTTCCTCGGATGTTCTGTCGTGCCACGGCAAGGCCAGGACGCTGCTGACAGACTCGCTGCAGCACGTCTAGCGACAGCGGCTGCGAGCACCGCATCCCCTGCACGTTGTGCACGACATTTTACCTTGGCACCTGCAAACTCTCCATTGGTCCATCGCACCTCACGATGTCTTTGGACTCCGGCGTGACACTCCCCCCCCAAGCAAGCTTAACCGAAACTTCAAACAGGAGATAAGAGGAAGCGGATCACGCAGACGACCTGCAAACCACCAAAAGACGATGTCCTGCACGTTCCGTTCGCATATGACTGTCTCGGAGTCCGTGAGAATCCCCGGTGCCACAGGTACCACAGGGCTCTCCTGATGGGTGCACACGGACTTCACATGAGTTCTGACGCGCCGTGTCCTTTTGTACCTAAGTCTAGCCCTGTGCCTTGCTCAAAGCCACATTTAGCAGCAGCCGGACTGCTGCCGGCCGATAGCAAGCTGGATCGAGAACTAGCCTCTGCAGCATTCCCGCATAGGTTGGTATGTCGAGTGTCATCTTCGCACCGGACTGGGTGCCAAAGAGACCCTCGGCAACCTCAACGAGTGCAACAGGTCCCTGCACTGCGGCTCGTTCCAAAATCTTGGCCACCAACTCCTTACTCGGCTCGAAGGCAAGATAGGGGAGTGGATTGGCAAGCTCAACACACAATCCCGTCCTTACAAAAGACAAAAGTCAAGTTCCTTGCTCCACAGTCAATCGTATTCCACTGCTTGCAGGGGCTCGGGACGGGGAGGGCTCGGACTTTCGCCAGCCGTACCAGACCCCCTGCCCTCCAACAACATCTTCAAGCCGGCCAGGACATCAGTGTCGATGGCCTCTGCCAGCTTCTTCTCCCACTCTTGCTGCTCTTGCTCTTCCGCCTTTCGTTGTTGCACTTCGGTCTGCACTGCGTTCGGTGGCCGAACCGTGGAGCCTTTGGAACCTGGCCACGGCCATGCTTGCCAGCTGTTGTGCCAAGCCTGGCTCCAGCTTGTGTAGTCGTAGTCCCCCGAATACAAGTGCTGGTTGAACATCTCATCCATTGAGTGCCCGGTGTTGAACCAGCCGTCCCAAGCATTTGCGACGTGGTTCGGGTTCTGCGTGCTGTTCCCGTGCGATGAGACTGCACCCTCACCCGAGACAGAGCCATCACCAGACGCAGTTGGTCCCCAGCGTGGTGGCACGGTTGGCCTGGCGGCAACAAAACACAACCAGCATAGGGCTAGGCCCTTTATGGTCACTGCATGGCCTTCTGGCGCTTGATTTCGGCACGGTCTGCAAGCCGGGTAGTCGCGTGATCGAGTCTGGATTCCTGCATGCACGTCAAGCAGGAAAAGAATGATGATCCACAGGGGCGGCAAACCAAAGACGTTCTCTGCAGCTGTGTGGCAAATCTTCTCCATGATTGCCCTGCGCCGTGGCGTCTGCAGAAGCGGCTGGCGCGCATCCCGCAGCTGGATTGTCCTTCAAACTGCGAACCGACATCAACTTTGGACCACTTGAAGATTACACCGCGTGCTACCCGCTGCCCGGCACTGTAGAACTTTCAATGCACATTGCGTCATCTCCTATCGATAAACAGCTGGCAAGCCTCCATAGATGTACATTGGGGAAGGCTCGGCACACCTCTGGTCCATCAGCTCACGCCATTGCATGCGACCCAAATTCGGTGGAATCACCAGTGCTTTGTTTGCAACTGTGGAAGCTGCACCAAACATCGCGGAGTCTTGGTCTGCTCACAACTCCCGTCGCATCATATCACATAAATGGCTAGATTCGGCTAGATCCATGGCTCACAGTCACAAACACCAGTGCCCACGATATGAACGGAAACTTACATGCAGAATGGAATCACTATTCCCGCCACAGTCAGCGACGATCGGCAGAAAAGACTGGATGAACAGGAGGTTCCTGCAGGGTTTTGCATCCTGCCGTCCCCCTTGTACACCTGAAGGACATACACAAGTGCGCAGGCAACTTGCTCACATCTCTCCTGCATGTTCTGTACAAGCTGTACAACACCGAGCGTAGTCGGCAAGATTGCCTGCAACAAACAACAAGCACGGCAGCATCATATGCTGCAGGCAGGGACTCGGTGCAAATACACATCTTGCTGTGAACTTGTCCTGGCGAGTATAGAACACTCGCGTTTCAACACATGTGTTTCATCCCAGGAGCCATGACAATCACCCCTTCGAATGACGGTGTAAGTATCGTCATCCGCTTCTGTGATCGTTGCCAGAAACGAGGCGCTGCCATTTGATGGGCCTCCCCAACCGTCACCCTGGACTCGCACGAGGAACCCAGCTTCGGGTGGCCGAAGCGTGTGTCCGAGAGATTGGCGGATCAGGACAGAACCGTTCTTCGCCAAAGCAGGAGCTCGCTGCTTGCCAACTATGCGACGCCTTGCTGGTTGCCGTGGGAGCTTTGACAGCACTCTGTCGAGCCCTGGCATAGTGCCATTGTCCACAAGCTGCTGCTCAACAGGAGCAGGTTCACTCCTTCCATGGCACGTTGCAACCACACCTGCTGTGCCATTGCACAGCTCCATCTGCAAAGCAAGCGATGCAGGACCCAAAGGACAGTCCAGCTCACCTTTAGTGCCGTACACACCGTGGTTCTCAGATTCGACCACCAACGTCGGGGTCAGCGTGCCCAAATTTGTGGGCACGTCCGTGTTGGCAGGCTCGACGCTGGAAACCTCCAACAAAACCTGCTCTACACAAGCAGATTCGCTTCTTCCATGGCACGTTGCAGCCACAATCTCTTTGTCACCCTTCTGCGCAAGCAACTCCATCTGATTGTCGGGCAGCACATGGCCCGGAAAACAATCCAGCCAGCCTTTCGTGCCGTGGTTGTCGGATTCAACCACTAATGTTGGGGCGATCGTACCCTGATTGCTGAACACAGTCGTGTTACCTCGCTCTACTATGGAAGCAGCCTTGGCCTTCTCTGGCGAATTGCTCATACCATGTGCATCGGAATGAAGCTGTGGCTGCACGATTTCGTGCACAATTGCACCAGCCGCCTCGACCTCCTCCTGGACATCATCTTCTGCGACTGGACTTGGTGAATCCCGCCACGTGTATTGTGAGGGGGCGAGGCTGGAAGCTGCTCGCAGGAAGGGTCTTTTGCGTCCACGCGGGGCGACATTAGCGGATCGCACAAGTTTCAACTCTTTCTCTTCATCGTCGACCCCAGCAGCACCAACATCCACACATGCATCCTGTGCGAGCTTGCTGGTAGAATTTGCAACCAGAGAGCCTGCATCAAGGTCGGAATAGGCATCCAGCTGCACGCTGTTGGGTGCCAAACTCGATGCTGCTCGTAGCACACGTCTTTTCTTGGCGGCATGATTAAAATCATCACCTTCCAAACAACCCGGGGCTGCAGCAGAGCTGCCAGCAACGACGCCGGTTTTGCCCATCTCCGCCAATTCGCATGCTGTGGCAGGAACAGTGGGAGGTTCAAACTCTGCCACAGCCATGCTGGGCGCGGCCATGCCAAAGACTAGCTTCTTGGTATTCCTGTACTTCCCCCGAGGTCATTCGAACCGAAACAAGCAACAAATCCGAATTTTGTGGGGGTCTGGGGACTTGCAGATGGGGGCTGGGAATACCGCTGCAAAGCGGGCCAGCATATCGCATCCTTGCTGTTGCCCGCTCTCGAAAGTTACTCAGACGATTGTGTCTCAGATAAGGGCTGTAAGAAGAAATCTTTGTGATGTTGATTAAAGATGCACTGCAGTCGGTCAGACACATAATGCACCCCAAAACCAATGGATTTCAAGGACGTTGCAGCAAAAGTACCATTGTATCATGCATTTTCGACAAGGCGATACACTCTTCGTGCCGCATAAATCCCGGGCCACGGTGCTCGGGACATGTTGTCGGTCTGGGCAATGTAGATGACATATGACAATAATAAACGTACCTGACCTGCTAAGACCCCTGACCCTTCAAACAGACTCTGGAAGATGATTGTACCAGTAGGAGTGTGCGAAGTTTTCGGTTGCCACCACGGTTGGCAGTGGAGGGTTTTGGGCCTGGTAAGCAGCATGACGCACGTCTAGACGGGAAACAAAAAATTCGTCAACTTCCGAATGGATTCCGAAATTCTGTGTCTTAAGCATGCCCCCTCATTTGGCGATTCCGGTTTCATCATATACCTGAAACACGCCCCCTCATTTGGCGACTCCAGATCATCATACATCTGAAACACGCCCCCTCAATTGGCGATTCCTATCTTAACTGCCCCTTAAGCACGCCCCCTCATTTGGCGATTCGGGTTCCTCATATATCTTAAACACACGCCCTCGTTCGGCGCTTCCCGTTCATCATACATTCTAAACACGCCTCCTCATTTGGCGAAAACCAATTGAAATTGATCCAAAAACAAAAAGCACGACCAACTAGCACAAAGCCCATGAAAACCAAACAACATCAATTTGCGCTTCCGGCTCATCATAACTAGAGGACCAAGGAACGAGAGGACCAGAGGACCAGAAGACCAAGGAACTGCGGTGTAGAGGACCAGACGACCAGGGCATCAGGGGACCGGAGGACTACAGGACTTGAGAACCAGAAGAGCAACCGAACAGAACAGGGATGGGGTGGCCAGGCGACCAATGGACGCGAAGACCAGGAGGCCAGAGAAACCAGCGGGCCAAAACAAAGACGCAGCAGGAAATTGGAAAACCGCGCGGCACTGAAGACCCTGAACCTTTGGACGAAAGGACCAAAAGACCATGGGACCAGAGGACAGCGAGACCAGAGGACCACGGGACCAGAAGACCAGAGGACCAGAGGACCCAGCAAGCAGAAAACAAAGAACAAAAAATACCAGAGAAAACCAAAAAAATCCTTCAAAATATACAATTCCCATGCAGAAACGCGTGACTGAACGTGTTGGAACGAAAATGTACCTGGGACCCAATGTTTCTGCTAAGCCAGATGTCCAAATGGCTGAAACTCTTGGATTTGAGCAGGAGCTCAAATCTCTTGGATTTGAGCTGGAGCTTCCAGACCCTTGACAGCGAACTTCTCGTGAAACCAATCATCTTGCTACCCTCAACGACTGGACGTTCATGACGGTTTCGTTGCGGTTGAGGATAATGAAATTTTCTGTATCCGATCCTTTTGAGGGGCTGTCTCGGGTGGCTGTTAAGCATGGGAAGTAGCTCAGATACATGGCGAAATTGGCACCTTGCTGTACACTCCAGGTACAGACACATTGCATCCACCGAAAAAAGAACGAATACATGGTTACTCCGTTGTACCTGACCTGGCAATCTCCGTCTTTGCTTCAGCCTGACTGAATCCGTGCTTCGCCAGCAAAACTGATGAATCGACACCTCTTTCAAGGAGCTCTGTGCGCAAGCTAGTGGTGCCACCCATCTTTGTGCGACAAAATCACCCATAAGATGTTCTGTGACTTGATCTCTTCATCATGAAAAGTGATATCCTCATTGCTGAAACGCATTGCACGGCAGCGGTAGTGTGTAACCCGAGCACTTTCGGAAGTGCTACAGGAGTACTTCCTGCCACACTCGCATCGAAAAACCCGTGCATGGGCGGCCATTATGGAAAAATAGGTAACGAGTACAACAAATGAAGTAGACCATGATAGAATCAAGTGACACCAGAACTGCAATAACATTTGATAAGAAGCACACATGTCAGGAGCATACGTATTAATACAAAATGATTGCTTGTTGATTCTTCCACAGAATGCCGTAGGTAAATGGCGGACACGTTCCCCAATATAGTGGCGGGTGGTCTCTGGCCCGAAATGCTGCGTAAAACAGTGGCGCGTGGCTTCCGGAAACATACATACGACATGGTCCTAGGAAGGCCGCAAGTGATTTCGGACCAAGGACGCTGCGTAGGCGGGTGGCGTCTTGGAGCATACATATAATTGCCACATGATGTCTTCCCTGAAGAAAAATGGTTTAGGTAGATGGACGAGAAATTCGCTAACAGAGCGGCGAGTGGTATCGGAGCCGAAAAGCTGCGTAACAAGGTGGAGGGTGACGTGCAGCACTCAAATTTGTTGAAACTGTCATACTCACCGGGATCTGCTGCACAACCAGCTTGCACTTCATGGATCAGAGCCTCGGCCCCGACGCGGCTTCCGAGCGCGTATTGGTGCGGGTGGCACGCTTCTGCAACTGGGCCCGCAAACTGTTGTGCCAGTGTGCGGGCCACCAGGCGGCGCAGGAAGTCGCCGATCATAAGGCCTCGCGTGCCACCGTTGGGTTTGCGCAGCGCGACGACACGCCCAAGTCCAAGGGCTGGCACAATGTCGTCAGGGACGCCGGCACAGGCAAGCTGGGAGGCGACATCAGAAAATGTCTGGGAGGCCTCGGCATCATCGAGGACAACACGGAGAATTTCCGCCGTGAGGCCAGAGGGTCCTGGGGCAGCGCCGTTGCGCGCACGGCGAAGGTTGGCAAGGAGCGCAACGGGGTTTAGCACAACGGGCACAGGAGGCTCCCACGCAGCAAGATCGGGGTCGAGAGGGGTGTAGGGCTCGGGGGGCGCCGGTCAGCAATGGACAGTGCCTCGAACGTGTCTTGGGTGGGTGGTGGGGCCAACGGGTCTGCCAACAAAGCTCGCCTAGCGGCTGACAGTTCGCCTAGGTGAGCCAAATGCGTGGCACGGCGAGCACGCGCTTCAGCATCGGGCTCACGCAGCTAGGGCTCTTGCGGCAACGGTTGCGAGAAGGCTTCGTCAAGCAACGGCGCCCACTCCCCGCGCAGGAAGCTTTGGAATCGTGCAAGCAGCACGGCCTTCTCAAGTCGGATGCCTTTTCTGGGACGGTGGAGCAACATGCGAGGGGCGAAAAGCAGGAACTTCCAGGCCCGGCTCCAGTGTGCTGCAGGGGACGAATCACACGCACACAGGACCAAGTCAAAGGCAAGTCGCAAGCACGGGCGCAAAACGCCCTTGCAGAAGTGCGGAGGCACACGGAATAGACAGCACGGCTGTGCCAGAACATCCTCGGCTGAGAAACGGTCAAGGGTAGCCAAGGAAGCACGGAAGCGTAGCAGCGTGTCGGTACCATTGCACTGTCGCACGGTGCTCGAGGTGTTGGCGTGAAGAGCGACGGGCGGTGACGCACGCTGGGCAAGGTCGACGGCCGGGGGGTCAGAACTAGAAGTGCTGGAGCTGGAACTGGAGCTCGAGGATCGACCATCGGCTGTTGCAGCGACCGGCGCGGGTGCAGGGCCAGCTGAGTCAGGTGGAAGCCGAGGTTCGTGATCGCTCTGGTGCGCTACAGGAGGGGGGAGGAGGGCCCCGGCACGGGGGCTCCCCGGCGATGCAAAGCGGCGACTTGCTGCAGAAGCTCCGACACTGCGCGTTCACCCATGTAAACAAACATGCAGCAAGGCCTCCTGCACGGTGGCGGGTATGTACCCATCGGGCATCGTCACAAAAGTTGCCACGCCCAAACCAAGTCACAGATGTGTTGCTGGGCAACACATTACCTTCAGCAGCGATGGACAGCAACATTTGTGCGTCAGGCAAGGGGAGCGCACGCCCTTCTTCGGTTGCTAGTTGCTGCGTATGCAAGGCATGGATGTCAAGGGCGCTCTGCCACAGCGGTGCACAGTGAACATGACTATTCCAAGCACTAAGCGCCTCGGGTTGGAGCCGACCGACTGCGGCGTGCAGCAGGGGTACAAACAGCCAACTGTGTGTGCGGCCCCTTTCGAGCGTGTCGGGGGGGCCTTGGCGGCACCAAGCTGCGTCGGCCGGCGCGGCAGTTGGGCCAGCTGACAGGCGCGAGACAGGGTTTTCCGTGGCAGTTTTTTTTTTCTCACACGCCTTTTTGCGCCAGCAGTGAAGAGTCCGTCGTCGGCCTACTAGCGGCAGGCAGCTTACCACAAGGAGGGGGGGGCGGCGCGGTCCAGGCAGGATCCGCGGCCGCGGGAG